CTCACTTTATCAACGAGCACGCAGAATTTACCTCTGTCGTCGTCTTCGCTCCGCTGCTCTCTCTTTACCTTCCCTTCTCGCTGATGGACCCACCTTTCATCCGACTCTCTCATTGACTTTTTGACAACAACTGACTTACTTCACAAATTCTGATACCTTCAGCCCTTTCTACTTCAATCTCTTGCTACCCTCTACCCCCGTAGCTATCCCCTGCCCCGCTGTTTTCTGTAACCTACTGATCATCCCTCCTCCCTTCTGCCATCCAATACCCTCGCTTCCTTCCCTACCCTGCAGCGCTGTATAGCCCTTGTGGCTTAGCGCTTCTTTTTGATTATAATAATAATACAGTGGACCCTTGACCAATGATGGCATCGATTAACGATTAATCCGACCAGCGATACATTTTAACGCAAAAATTTTGCCTCGACTAGCGCTAAAAAACTCGACTAACACTATTTGTTCCGTCTGAGACGCATCCACTTCTGGCCAGTGTTTACAAGCCAGCCAGCCACCGCAGTCGCTTCCAAGCATACAATCGGAGCATTTCATATTATCACAGCCTTTTTAGTGATTGCACCTGCAAAATAAGTCACCATGGGCCCCAAGAAAGCTTCTAGTGCCAACCCTACAGCAAAAAGGGTGAGAATTACTGTGGATATGAAGAAAGAGATCATTGCTAAGTATGAAAGTGGAGTGCATGTCGGAGCTGGCCAGGCTGTACACAAAACCCCAATCAACCATCGCTACTATTGTGGCCAAGAAAACGGCAATCAAGGAAGCTGTTCTTGCCAATGGTGCAACTATGTTTTCGAAATTGAGATCGCAAGTGATAGAAGATGTTGAGAGACTGTTATTGGTGTGGATAAACGAAAAACAGATAGCAGGAGATAGCATCTCTCAAGCGATCATATGTGAAAAGGCTAGGAAGTTGCACGAGGATTTAATTAAAAAAATGCCTGCAACTAGTGGTGATGTGAGTGAATTTAAGGCCAGCAAAGGTTGGTTTGAGAGATTTAAGAATCGTAGTGGCATACATAGTGTGATAAGGCATCGTGAGGCTGCCAGTTTGGACCAAAAAGCAGCTGAAAAATATGTGCAGGAATTCAAGGAGTACATAGACAGTGAAGAATTGAAACCTGAACAAGTGTTTAATGGTGACACTGACAATGTTGTGAAACACTAGGAATGTCATAAAGGAACGGGAGGTACAGGCCTCTATGGACAGATATGTTGTGCGACAGAGGTCCAGTGACTCTCAAGCTGGTCCTAGTGGCATTAAAAGAAGAAGGGAAGTAACCCTGGAAAAGGACTTGCCACCTCAAACCCTAATGGAAGGGGATTCCCCTTCTAAACACTAACACCATCAACACTCTCCCCTCCTCCCATCCCATCAATCATCACCAGATCTTCAATAAAGGTAAGTGTCATGTAACTGTACATGTCTTCAGTTTGTGTGTATTAAAATTAATATTTCATGTGGTAAAATTTTTTTTTTTTCAATACTTTTGGGTGTCTTGCACAGATTAATTTGATTTCCATTATTTCTTATGGGGAAAATTAACTCGACTAACGATAATTTCGATTAACGATGAGCTCTCAGGAACGGATTAATATCGCTGGTTGAGGATCCACTGTAATGTATTAACCTGGGATGATTCATTATTATTCATACATGTATATGATTGTGATGTTTGTCTCCTGGTTGTATTTTGATGGTGTATGAATATATTTTTAGGGGCACATGTTTGTGTCTCCTGGTTGTATTTTGATGGTGTATGAATGTATTTTAAGGGGTGTATGATTGTGCATGTTTGTCTCCTGGTTGTATTTTGATGGGTAGGAGTGTATTTTGAGTGTGTATGAGTGTATTTAGATGTGTATCTCTCAGCCCCCACTCGCCCTCTGTGGGACTTAGCCCTCCCAAAATCGCCTAGTGGACTCTTCCTCTTTGCAAACAGCTTTATGAAAACCAGATGTATATACCACAGCGTCACGAGGCACACCGTCCTCACCATGCAAGAGTTCCTGATCAACTATACAGCATCACGAGACTTGTCGTCCTCTCCTTGTGAGAATTCCTGATCAACTACACAGTGTCACAAGACACGCCATCTTCTCCCTGCTAGAGTTCCTGATTAACTACACAGCATCACGAGACATGCCGTCCTCTCCATGCAAGAGTTCCTGATCAACTACACAGCGTCATGAGACTCGCCGTCCTATCCTTACTAGAGTTCCTGATTAACTACACAGTGTCATGAGACTCGCCGTCCTATCCTTACTAGAGTTCCTGATTAACCCTTAAATGGTCCAAACGTATATATACGTTTTTTCAACATCTGAAAGTATGTAAAAAAATGTAGATCTTCTTTTTTGTTTTACATTTGAAAACGTGTAAAAAAAAACTTTTATCTACATTTTTTGTTATATTTGAAAATATGAAAAAAAAAGTAGATCTACTTTTGTAGCTCCGAATTTGAACGTCGATCTGTTTGGAGCGTTTAAGGGTTAAGTACTCAGCGTCATGAGACACGCCATCCTCTCCTTGCTAGAGTTCCTGATCAGCTACACAGCGTCGTGAGACACGCCGTCCTCTCCTTGCTAGAGTTCCTGATCAACTACACAGTGTCACGAGACATGCCATCCTCTCCTTGCTAGAGTTCCTGATCAACTACACAGTGTCACGAGACATGCCATCCTCTCCTTGCTAGAGTTCCTGATCAACTACACAGCGTCACGAGACATGCCGTCCTCTCCTTGCTAGAGTTCCTGATCAACTACACAGCGTCACGAGACATGCCGTCCTCTCCTTGCTAGAGTGCCTGATCAACTACACAGCGTCACGAGACATGCCGTCCTCTCCTTGCTAGAGTGCCTGATCAACTACACAGCATCACGAGACACACCATCCTCTCCTTGCTAGAGTTCCTGATCAACTAGACAGCGAGGTTAAACGAGAGTAATTACTCTTTTCACCATAGCAGGAAAATTAAGGGAAAACCTGCACCCCACTTTATCTACAAGTTGCTCCCAGCATTTTAGTTGCCTCTTATGACACGCATGGCTCACGGAGGAAGTGTTCTGTTCCACTTCCCCATACATATACTTCCTATTATAATTGTGATACCTGCATTAACAAGTTATTTACTTACAGAAATAACTAAACATAATTGTCATTTAGGGTCCAGAGCTTGAACCCATGTCACGCTGAGCTCACCAGTCTACGCCACATCATCCTGCAAGCTCTGGTGTTCAGCTGTCAATGACAGAGAATGAGCAGTGATGAGCCTCGTTCCTAAGACGATTCAGGAGTTCAGCTCCAAGGACTACTGGAACACTTTCTTCGCCAGGAGAGGCCAGAAAGTCTTCGAATGGTGAGTTTCATCTTCCCTGGGGTCACTGGCATTTTGGGGTCAAACTTTATACCCCCACCACCCCAGTGGGAATGACTTTATTCGTTATAGATAGTAGGAGGTACAAACTATCACATGTATACACACGTATATACATGTACACACAGACATACACATATGTGTATACACACACATATATACTTTCACATACATGGTGTGTCTGTGCACACATTCTCATAGTGTATACACAATGCATACAGAAATTTAGTACATACACACACACACTTGTATGCATACTCATTCTCACACATTCACTATACACAGATGCATGCATACACATTCTCACACTCAGTATACACACATGCATACACATTCTCACACATTCAGTATACACACATGCATACACATTCTAATTCATTCAGTATACACAGACATTTACATACAAAACATACACTCATGTATTCGCATACAAGACTAACCGATCATTTCAGTTGTATAATTAACAGAATAAATTTGCTTTAGGGAATATACTAAGAAAAATTTTTTTCCCAAAAATCTAGATTTTTGACTCCATAAAATAAATTTACTTTGCTATTATTGGTTTGTTTCCCCATCGTGCAGTGACTCAGTGCTTGTTACGGCAGGTACGGCAACTATGGCGAGCTGTGCGGCCTACTGCATAAGTACGTACGCCCAAATGACAGTGTTCTGGTGCCCGGCTGTGGCAGTTCCACCATCAGTGCCGACCTCTATCGTGTCGGATACACGTAGGTAGCAGTGCCTGCCCTCTGTATGACCCTTACAAGTTTAGCTCTTTCTGAGTGTTAATGATTGTGTCCTTATTATTGCACCCACAGCAACATCACCAATGTAGACAACAGCGAGGTGGTCATACGGCAGATGGTGCAAAGGTACGGCAAGGAGTGCCCGAAGATGCAGTGGCGCCAAATGGACGTCACATCGCTGACGTTCGAGGATGGAGCATTCACCTGCATCCTGGACAAGGCTACGCTAGACGCCCTCATGACTGATGCCTCAGTGCAAGTTGTTGCTCAGGTTGACAGATACCTGGCAGTAAGTCAGATTATTATCATTATTATTAATAGTAATAGCAACAGTAGTAGTAATAGTAGTAGTAGTAGTAATAGAAGAGTAGTAGTAGAATAAGTATTAATGGTAGTAGAAATAGTAGTTGTGTATAAGGCTGAACTAATCCTATAGAGAACGACCATATGGACGACGGTCACATCTGGTATGTGTTGTAGTGTTTGCATGATCCTCGCATGTCATGTTGAACTTCATGCGTGAGTGCAGATCATCGTAAATCTGCCGTATGTAAGTGTGGATCACCATAACCAGGCGCTTGCAAGTATGAATCAGTGTAACCTGGGCATTCATGAGTCTGGAACCTGCCAGTGATGCAACACCCTGATCGTTCATGCTTGTTATTCATGAATGGCCTCTATGTATTTCTCACTTTTGCAGGAAGTCAACCGAGTGTGTCGCACAGGCGGTCGTTTTGTGTGTGTCACTCTCCTACAGGACCACATCCTTCACCACATCCTACAGTGGTTCCCCAAACATGACTGGATCGTCAGAATCTGCAGGTATGAATTCGTGTACATTACCTAAATTACTGGGAATGGTTGAAGTCCCTTGATTTGTATTCCCTGGAATGCAGGCGAGAAAGATACATGATAATACAGGTACCATCCAACTTATGACCAACCTCAGTTCCGACCAACCAGTCGTAAGTCAAAATGGACATAAGTCAAACCTTACTACTGAATATCAGCATCACATTTCTGTAATGACTTTATTTTATTGTTTTATTTTTGTGTTTCATTTTTTACTTTACTTTTTATGTTGTTAGTACTGTATTTTATACTATAAGTTTAAGATAAACACTGTGTATAATACACTGTGTATAATACACTGTGTATAATACACTGTGTATAATACACTGTGTATAACACACTGTGTATAATACACTGTGTATAATACACTGTGTATAACACACTGTATAACACACTGTATAACACACTGTGTATAAACACTGTGTATAATACACTGTGTATAATACACTGTGTATAATACACTGTGTATAATACACTGTGTATAATACACTGTAAAGTAAAAGGACACAAGTGCAACTAATGTGACATTTATTGTGGCAACGTTTCGCTCTCCAGGAGCTTTATCAAGCCATTACAAACAATACATGGACACAGAGGGTATATAAAGGCTCAGAGTGAGGTGAATACTAGTGAGGTACCATTTCGATGTTCACTAGTGGTAGTAGTAGTAGTAGTAGTAGTAGTAGTAGTGGTAGTGACAACTACTACTACTACTACTACCACTAGTGAACATCGAAATGGTACCTCACTAGTATTCACCTCACTCTGAGCCTTTATATACCCTCTGTGTCCATGTATTGTTTGTAATGGCTTGATAAAGCTCCTGGAGAGCGAAACGTTGCCACAATAAATGTCACATTAGTTGCACTTGTGTCCTTTTACTTTACATATTGTCGGTAATTCTACCAACTTTATTACAATACACTGTGTATAATACACTGTGTATAATACACTGTGTATAATACACTGTATAACACACTGTATAACACACTGTGTATAACACTGTGTATAATACACTGTGTATAATACACTGTATAACACACTGTGTATAATACACTGTGTATAATACACTGTATAATACACTGTATAACACTGTGTATAATACACTGTGTATAATACACTGTATAACACACTGTGTATAATACACTGTATAACACAGTGTATAATACACTGTGTATAATACACTGTATAATACACTGTATAACACACTGTGTATAATACACTGTGTATAATACACTGTATAATACACTGTATAACACACTGTGTATAATACACTGTGTATAATACACTGTATAACACACTGTGTATAATACACTGTGTATAATACACTGTGTATAATACACATGTGTATAATACACTGTGTATAATACACTGTATAAACACACTGTGTATAATACACTGTGTATAATACACTGTGTTATAACACACTGTGTATAATACACTGTGTATAATACACTGTGTATAACACACTGTATATAACACACTGTATAACACACTGTATAACACTGTGTATAATACACTGTGTATAATACACTGTGTATAATACACTGTGTATAATACACTGTGTATAATACACTGTATAACACACTGTATAACACACTGTGTATAACACTGTGTATAATACACTGTGTATAATACACTATAACACACTGTGTATAATACACTGTGTATAATACACTGTGTATAATACACTGTATAACACACTGTGTATAATACACTGTGTATAATACACTGTGTATAATACTGTATAACACACTGTGTATAATACACTGTGTATAATACACTGTATAACACACTGTGTATAATACACTGTGTATAATACACTGTATAACACTGTGTATAATACACTGTGTATAATACACTGTGTATAATACACTGTGTATAATACACTGTGTATAACACACTGTGTATAATACACTGTTATAACACACTGTGTATAATACACTGTGTATAATACACTGTGTATAATACACTGTGTATAATACACTGTGTATAATACACTGTGTATAATACACTGTGTATAATACACCGTGTATAATACACTGTGTATAACACACTGTGTATAACACACTGTGTATAATACACTGTGTATAATACACTGTATAACACACTGTGTATAATACACTGTGTATAATACACTGTGTATAATACACTGTATAACACAGTGTATAATACACTGTGTATAATACACTGTATAACACACTGTGTATAATACACTGTGTATAATACACTGTATAACACACTGTGTATAATACACTGTATAATACACTGTGTATAATACACTGTGTATAATACGCTGTATAACACACTGTGTATAATACACTGTGTATAATACACTGTATAACACACTGTGTATAATACACTGTGTATAACACACTGTGTATAATACACTGTGTATAATACACTGTGTATAACACACTGTGTATAATACACTGTGTATAACACACTGTGTATAATACACTGTGTATAATACACTGTGTATAACACACTGTTAACACTGTATAACACCACTGTGTATAAACCTGTGTATAATACACTGTGTATAATACACTGTGTATAATACACTGTATAACACACTGTGTATAATACACTGTGTATAATACACTGTGTATAATACACTGTATAACACACTGTGTATAATACACACTGTGTATAATACACTGTGTATATATCACTGTATAACACACTGTGTATAATACACTGTGTATAATACACTGTTATAACACACTGTGTATAATACACTGTGTATAATACACTGTGTATAATACACTGTATAACACACTGTGTATAATACACTGTGTATAATACACTGTGTATAATACACTGTGTATAATACACTGTATAACACACTGTGTATAATACACTGTGTATAATACACTGTGTATAATACACTGTGTATAATACACTGTGTATAATACACTGTATAACACACTGTGTATAATACACTGTGTATAATACACTGTGTATAATACACTGTGTATAATACACTGTGTATAATACACTGTGTATATACACTGTATAACACTGTGTATAATACACTGTGTATAATACACTGTGTATAATACACTGTGTATAATACACTGTGTATAATACACTGTGTATAATACACTGTGTATAATACACTGTATAACACACTGTGTATAATACACTGTGTATAATACACTGTGTATAACACACTGTGTATAATACACTGTGTATAACACACTGTGTATAATACACTGTGTATAAGACACTGTGTATAATACACTGTGTATAATACACTGTGTATAACACACTGTGTATAATACACTGTGTATAAACACTGTGTATAATACACTGTGTATAATACACTGTGTATAATACACTGTGTATAAACACTGTGTATAAACACTGTGTATAATACACTGTGTATAATACACTGTGTATAATACACTGTTATAACACACTGTGTATAATACACTGTGTATAATACACTGTGTATAATACACTGTGTATAATACACTGTATAACACACTGTGTATAATACACTGTGTATAATACACTGTGTATAATACACTGTATAACACTGTGTATAATACACTGTGTATAATACACTGTGTATAATACACTGTGTATAACACACTGTGTATAACACACTGTGTATAATACACTGTGTATAACACACTGTGTATAATACACTGTGTATAATACACTGTGTATAATACACTGTGTATAATACACTGTGTAACACACTGTGTATAACACTGTATAATACACTGTGTATAATACACTGTGTATAATACACTGTGTATAATACACTGTGTATAATACACTGTGTATAATACACTGTGTATAATACACTGTATAACACAGTGTATAATACACTGTGTATAATACACTGTGTATAATACACTGTGTATAATACACTGTATAACACACTGTGTATAATACACTGTGTATAATACACTGTATAATACACTGTGTATAATACACTGTGTATAATACACTGTATAACACACTGTGTATAATACACTGTGTATAATACACTGTGTATAATACACTGTGTATAATACACTGTATAACACACTGTGTATAATACACTGTGTATATACACATGTATATAATACACTGTGTATAACACACTGTGTATAATACACTGTGTATAATACACTGTGTATAATACACTGTGTATAATACACTGTGTATAATACACTGTGTATAATACACTGTGTATAATACACTGTGTATAATACACTGTGTATAATACACTGTGTATAATACACTGTGTATAATACACTGTGTAACACACACTGTGTATAACAACTGTATAATACACTGTGTATAATACACTGTGTATAATACACTGTGTATAATACACTGTGTAACACACTGTGTATAACACACTGTGTATAATACACTGTGTATAATACACTGTATAACACACTGTGTATAATACACTGTGTATAATACACTGTGTATAATACACTGTGTAACACACTGTGTATAACACACTGTGTATAATACACTGTGTAACACACTGTGTATAACACTGTATAACACTGTGTATAATACACTGTGTATAATACACTGTGTATAATACACTGTATAACACACAGTGTGTAATACACTGTGTATAATAGTGTATAACACACTGTGTATAACACACTGTGTATAACACAGTGTATAACACACTGTGTATAATACACTGTGTATAACACACTGTGTATAATACATTGTATAACACACTGTGTATAATACCACTGTGTATAATACACTGTGTATATACACTGTATAACACTGTGTATAATACACTGTGTATAATACACTGTTATAACACACTGTGTATAATACACTGTGTATAAACACACTGTGTATAATACACTGTGTATAACACACTGTGTATAATACACTGTGTATAACACACTGTGTATAACACACTGTGTATAACACACTGTGTATAATACACTGTGTATAACACACTGTGTATAATACACTGTGTATAACACACTGTGTATAATACACTGTGTATAACACACTGTGTATAATACACTG